AAATATCAAGCACATTTAAGAGCCACTTAAATATTAATAAAAGGTGTTGGTGTTTAAACAAATACTTTGGAACATTATTTAGCTGTTTCTTGCATGCAATCTTGGCTAAGGAACGATTGACATTTATGGACCAAATTCTTTACATTTTTATATAACACATGTAGCCTACCTCTGATTACATATATTGTGACGTAATGGCTTCTAACTATCTGTTTGTTTAGTTTTTGCTTTATCTCTACTAAAATTAATTGTACAAATTTCAGGGAAAAATTAGGTCAAAGAAGGCCCTATATAATCTTGTCCTTTCAATGAATATATCAGTGATGCTGTATTTGTTTGCAAATTTCTACAAGTTCGACCTTTTCAATAGTTCTATAAAATATGTTTAGTTTTTTCTCACAAAAAGTTTACTGCAATCTTCAAACCCTCAATGATAGTGGTTTCAATTTCAAAGAGGACAAAGAGTGAAAATGAAATGTTTTGGCCAATTAGCTATCTAAATTAGTAAAAGGAGGATTTCTTTAGATCAGTATTAGATTATAAGATAAGGTAATTTGAGTAAAGATAAAAATACATGATATGTTTAATGTTAGATTATCTTGTAAAGATAATTCCTCAAACATATGGGTGCATTCTGACACATGTGTCTTCAAGAAAATCACAAACCCATATGGTTATATTTTGTACACAAATTCCAATCAACAGACTTTTTACTAAGATAAGTATCTGAATAAATGTAACTTTTCCTTTTGGTAAACACTTTATATTTATCTAGTCCAGAGGGAGGAGGAAATATGATTTCTTTATTTGCATGCATCACCAAAATGTATTCTAAAAATAACAAAGCCTTTTATCACCTCTGAATAATGAAACAAAACAAATTGAAATTTCATTTATTTGTTATACAAATAATTAGAAAAAAAAGGATTGATCAACCACTGCATTTTCATAATAACAACCAGAACTGTTAATAAACACATAGACTGCGATAATATGTTTTACGTGGCCTTTGGCATACTCTTTTTTAAAATAAATCCAATATATAAAAACACATAGCTGAGAGGGATGATCGATTGAACAGATTGTTAACTAGCTGTGGAACCTTAGCTCTTGTTAACCAGAACAAACAAGCCAGCTAGCAAAGCTATTTCCCAAGCCCTTCTCTAAACCCCGACCAAAAACATCCCAATGTTCCACAGAACTTATTCACCAACCCTCAAAAAACATTCAGATTAACTCCATATAAATCTGGATTGTTGAACCTAAAACCCTGTCAGAGTAAATAAAAGGAACGTGTAACACTGAGGTGTGAGTAATAAACTCTCCATTGGTATTTTATCATTTGTGACCTTTACACTGGTAATAAATTCTCCCAGATGGAGGTTGCTCACTTCTTACTTTGACTTTAAAAAGCAGTTGTGCTAGCTCTTTTAAAGAGACTGTCTTCGACAAAAAACAACCAAATATTTTCCATTGAAACTAAGATGAACAGTTACAATATCAAACTAAAAAGTACTGATATAAACATCGTAAAAGTGAATAATAAAAGTGTCCCACATAATATCGACCACCCTTGTCCCTGGCTTCAGTTTGAAGAGACTAGTTAAAGAGGCTCATTCACCTATAATAAACTACAAAATTGATTGATTATTTTGTGTTGAAAGGAGAACTCGTACATTTACCATGATTTATACACACTGTACCCTGTTAAATGTCCTACATAAATATCCTTAAATGGACCACTTTAACCTTTGAAAAATTAATTAAATTAAATTGAAAAATGATTAAAAAGTTTATCAATAATGTGGAGTTTTTAATTGAATAATTTAATAAATGTCAGACAGTGCCAAGTATTACATCACAAATTTGCACCACAGCGGAAAACTGGTGAAAGAAAAGACAGCTCATTTTCTGAATAATTAAAGCCTGTCAACAAAGTTGACAATAAAATCCTAATGTGATGAATTACAAGGCTTGAACAGAATGGGAGCAGATCTTGCACAATGTTAGTCATAAAATATGAGACCACATTTTATTTTCATTATTTCAAATTTTCATTTTTTTTGTTTTTTCAAAATGTTATGACATTTGCAAGTAGTGATTTCGACCAGAAATAAACTGATTATAACTAAATAGAAACACCACTAACATAGAGACATATAACTGTGTACATATTACTATTAAACAAAATATAATTGCATTTTTTTTTAAACAGGTCTATTTTTGCCTTAAATGTTTCTTTTTCATTGCAAAAAGTAAAATAACAAAAATACCGAACTCCAAGGAAAATTCAAAATGGAAAGTCCCTTATCAAATGGCAAAGCTCAAGCACATCAAACAAATGGAAAATATTACTGTCATATTCCTGACTTGGTATTTCCTTATGTAGAAAATGGTGGATTAAACCTGGTTTTACAAGGAATTTTGCAAGGAATTTTGGAAACACTTTTACTTTAAAGCAATAATCATCATGGTATCTTGAAATAATTGATTTTTGAACAAGAATTCCAATACTTCTTGTGACCTTAATTTTATAAATAGCCAGTTCTATCCATACATGTTTACAGTTGTAGTACATGTATCAGATTCAGTTATTGAATTAAATACATCGTTTTTTAAAATGTTGATATGTGAAAATGTTATATAGACTTCCACCTAGACTCATGACTTGGCATTCAATAGGAAAAAAAAGTAAAACCAAGTCTTACATAACAGGATTTACATATTGCTATAAATGTCACTATAATTGAATTCAAGATTATTATATATGAGACAATTTCAAACTGGTATGGCTGTCCTTGGGTTGCTATATCTCATTCCCACACCTCCTTTTATTAAACATAATAAAAATTTGAAAACTAATCTGTGAAAAAAGAACCTAACAAAACAGAATGAATATAAAATGCATTTTTTTTGGAAACATTTTCTAGTACCGGTAATTAAATATCTGCTTATAGCATGAAAAATGCAAAATTTATAAGTACATTCATATTGCATTTCAACTATTGTATTCTTAGATATTTTTATTCTATATCTGACAAACAAATATTTCTGTAACTGAAGATCCTATTAGACATATTCCTTTAACATTTGTTGTATTAAATCTAAAATGTCACTTTTTCATCATATAAGCATTGTGGGGACTAATTACATCTTCATCAGTATCCTAATCTTTGGATATAACCAGATTCATGGATTAAAATCACTGATACAAATCAATTTTCATTAAGTCATTATATGAATAATTTCACAGCCCATAATCCTACAAAATAAATCGGCTTCCCTTACCAATCAAAGTGTTCTTGTACGTTATATTGACAGTAATGAAAACGGACAGTATTTTTTCCATTGCTTTTAGGCACAAAGTTAAACTATTATTTGATTAGTAAAATTTTCTGGTATTTCCCACCATAAAAACATTTCTTCTGTCATCAACTGGATTTTTTACCCTAATTTAATTTGCATTAAAATTTGATAACATTTGTATAGAAGAAAGGTTGCTTTAGTTACATTATGTCTTGAAATCTACAAAAATCAGCTGACAAAATGAATTGGTAGTTGTCAACATTAAAGCCGATTTGTGGATCATATTTTATTCATCTTATGCAAGATATTTGAAATAACGTTATTAAAAACAGGGATTTCTATGAATTTAATGATTAAAAAAAAATTGTGTGTGCATTGCTTACAAATTTTTCATAAACTTATCAAAGACAGTTTAAATGGACAAAACAGCCAAGAAGACAGTTATTCAACCTGCTACTGGAATCTGAGGAACACACTGTATATACCAGAATTTATAAAAAATACAAACTGAGTATTTCAGTACATAAGGATTTTGGGGTATATTCAAGAAATATGTATTGTTTTTAAACTTGCATTGTCAGGTGTTTTTATTTTTACTCCATTGAAAATGGTCAACTGTATACCTAAAGCTTTATATGGATAATAAAGTAAATTTCAAGATTTCCACTCCACTCTAGTCTTACGAAACAGCACAAAAAAAAACACTTTAAAACAGTAAAACAGTATTAAAATTGGTTGTCCAAAGTCTTCAAAGTCCTGGCAATGGAGATATCTGGATAATTAGCTGACCAGGTGACAATAAGAAATAATATCTAACTTGATATGAGGTGGATTAAAAGCTTGAGGAAGAGAACATGATACATCTGTCACTGTTGAGAGGAAGTCTACCCATTAAATAGACATCAAAATTCAATCTAGTCTAATCAAATGGCTGTAAAAATCTAATAATCAGCCATGAAAACTATGCTGTTTATACTAGCAAGACTGCTGTATCAATCAAACACCTAAACTTCTCTGTTTATTTTAGATCTGATTGATATAAAACATTTGCCTGTCATTTTTATATAGAAAGATAGACCACAGGTGCCATATTTGTCTTAGATGTAATTAGTAGTTAATTTGTTTATTTCAAAAACAGTAAATTATACCATAATTGATTTAGCACTACACATTCCTTAGAATTTTCTGAATTTTGTGTTATTTTAAGGTTTGTGAGACACAACGTCTCAAGCTTTCACTTTTGATATTCAATGTTAAGGAAACTGTTTGGGATTTCTGCAGTCCTATTGATCAAAGTAACAGGAAGGACAATATGATAATGGTAAAAATCATTACAGCTCCTAAGTAATGGAAAAACTATGTCCCTAGTCTCCAATTGCAGCAGATTTCCCAAAATTGCAACTTTATTTTTCTATCCAAATTTAACAATTTTTTTAAATGTCTTCTCAAATGCAAGTAACATTAAATAAGTATTTTATATAATAATACCATTTCATTTTTTATTTTAAAAATCTTAAGTCCAAATTGTTAAAATTAATTGACCTATCATGTACAAAATATAATTTCTTTAAGGCACTTTAATTAAAATTTCAAACATTTTAATCAAAATATTTATTTAAATTAAAACTTTCAGTCTATTTTGAACTTGAATATAAAATGAAGTCTCGTCTTAAAAAAAAAAGCTTAATACTCACATGAATTCGAAATATGAGAAAAATCCTATTGGCACAAAAATTTTTGAATATTGATTAAAACTTTTTTTCCAAATCCTTCAAAATCAGTCATTCATCAAACAATTTTTCCGAGAGTCAACTAAAAACAAACTTATCACTATCTTTTACTATGATTTTCTAATACATTTGTCATAGTTGAACAATTTTTCACCTGGGTCATGTGATCTAATGAATATTAATGAGATCTGCCTTATCTGTGATATCTGTTTCAGTGTCTTGGGGAATGGAGATAAATCAGGACTTTTTACAATAAATCTGTTTTATTGAAGATGCAGTGAAAACAAAGACAATTGTTATCATTTAATCTAGATTGCTTACAACCAAGTAGTTGAAATATTTAAACATCTTTATTATTTTTCTTTACAAAATTTATCTGATATTCAATGAAACTTTTTTTATACGATCATTTACATATGTGTAAAAAGAGAAGTGGGATATATGTCAATGAGACAGCAACCCAAACTCAAAATTTTAGATAATCTACAAATTATATGTGTGGACTAGAAAGATGGATAATTTGATCCTAGTAAAACAAAGCATAAATTTAAGGTATATTAATTTTCTTTAAAAATGAAATAGAAATTTCAATTTTTGTAGAGGAAGTATTAGAAATAATTAAATATTTCGGAAAGGTCTTATAACATAATCATCTAAAAGCAAGATACTATATATTTGAGATAATTTTGGACTCTTGAATATTTAGTAATAAGTTATTATGAAACTAACCTGACTTAAGGAGGGTTGGTCATGCATGGTCAAGGGGGTTAGTTTTATATGTACTTCTATGCTAACCAAATGAATTTAGTCCTTCTTAGTTTGGTTCGTTTCTCATAGACGTATATAGTACAGAAACTAACATGATTTTCTATTGTTCAAAATTGTTCCAATTTATATTAATTTCCTGTTTAAAGTGAGATGCCAGAAAAAAAAATGGATTCCAAACCTCAGGTCTTTAGTGTGTCTGTGACTTGTATATGCAGTAGATGAAAATTCAAGATCAGCAATAAGTGTACAAGTATTTAAAAAATATATTGTATTTCATTCCTCATTGACCCTGTGAATTGTATCTTTACTTCAAATATTCTGGAATAAATCATACCCCCCTTTTTTCCAACAAACAATGACTATCCAGCTCATCATGCTTCTTGTAGATGAAGAGGTAAAAATAAAGTGTTATAATCACAACTATTTTAATTCCAGGGATAACTCATAATGCTTGTTTTCACAAATTTCTTCTAAATAGTTCTCATTAATTTATAATGCTAAATCACTTAATTATCACATTAATGAACTTATCGACTAATTTCCATACTTCAAAGTTTCCAGAAAAGTTTCATTAAGTAACACAGTAATTCATTACAACCTCACATAAATAACTCAATGTTTATACATTAACTTAAACAAGCATAAGTTTGTTTTCCTTATCATATAAACACAGGAAAAACTTTTTTCAAAGGTCTCCTAAGAACATGTTCCTCATCAAAGGTTTAATGTTATTTTTTTTTAACTTAATGAAATTTGCAGACATCATGATATAGACATTACACCCAACTTTAATCATTATTACAAAATTTGTCAAAATATTTTTGAAATTTCAATGGTCTTCTTGTACTGGATTCAGCTTACTTTGAAAATGTTTAAAAGAAATGTGTTATTTGAAGTAGGTGTTGAATAAACATGTACTTTTAACTGTAACAGTTCTATAAACAACATGAATTTTATAGAGAGATACTACATATAATATAGAACATATATAAACCCATGATTCTTATGAAGAAAACTTCTACTACTAAAATGGTCACAGAAAGCTAAGACCTGCCATAATGCATTTTGTTAAAAGAAGTTTTCAAATCAAACAATGTGTTCAAGTACAAAAAGTTTAATACAAAGATCTAGTTTCATCAAGTTATTAATTTCTAAAGATTTTAAAATATTATAAATGGACTACACAATTCACCATTTCAGAATCTAATGCATTCTGGGTAATATTTTCAAAAGCATACACCAAAACTTTATGATGGGAAAAAAAAGGTCCTAAACAATGTAAATTCAACCATTGACATAATATTCTTTTCTTTTGGTGATAAAACAATAAAATTACCCAGAGTTCTTTCGCTTCTGAAAAAATACCAAGAACCATCCACTGACCTTCACATTGGACAACCAATAACCATCCACTGACCTTCACATTGGACAACCAATAACCAACATCCACTGACCTTCACATTGGACAACCAATAACCAACATCCACTGACCTTCACATTGGACAACCAAGAACCATCCACTGACCTTCACATTGGACAACCAAGAACTATCCACTGACCTTCACATTGGACAACCAATAACCAACATCCACTGACCTTCACATTGGACAACCAATAACCATCCACTGACCTTCACATTGGACAACCAAGAACCATCCACTGACCTTCACAATGGACAACCAATAACCAAGCAGACTGAACTATCTCTAATGAATACAGGATGCAGTACTGTAACTCTACAGATGGTTTCTACAATATACAAATGGACATATGTAAGGACAAATATCATTGGGGGGAAAGCACTGCCTGTAATCTAAGTTACCTGCATCCCAACACAGGACAGCCTGACATCACTAAAGATTGAATTTGATCAAACACTGTAAATAAAGCACAAATTGTCTAATCAACCAAAACACAAACATATTGATGGTGTTTATGGAAAATCTAAATACTAGTATCTTTTAAAATGACTTTAAAATTACAGACAGCTTCTTCCTCCCGGTGAAATATGGACACTTCTTCAACCTACATGGCAGATAAATTTAATTAAGAAAGCTACTTAACAATGTAAAAGACACATCTCATTTCCTTAATTTAATTATGTTTGGATATCCCACAACAAACTAAAAAAAAAAAAGAAATATTTTTTTATAAAAATAGAATGTAAGTTCAAAACATTTTTTCTTTCCATGTCAATTAAACCTAAATCTTCAGTTGTACTGACCAGTCCAGCCAATACAAGTTAATTAAGTAGACTTGGGAAGTATAAGTTACACAGACTTTATAAAGACCTATCAGTTACAGTCGATCCACTGATATACTTATCTATCTCAGATAAAGTTAGATCTGATTTGGGTAATAAAACATATTTAACTAGGGTTTTAACATCCCTACCTGGCCACAAAACAAATTTACCTGATATATAAACCTATAATTTGTTTATGATGTGGTTGGTAGGTATAAAACTGTCTGTTTAGCAAAGTACTTATTATAAAGCTGTTTAACAGGGTGCAATGCAGTTTTGTAAAACCTATAACTACTTATTAAATAAGGAAATCATAAATTACCAAGTTAAGCAGGCTTGGTAAATTTTCTGCTACATTTGCATGTAAACAGAATATACAATGTAACTTTGTTTTTTGTAGATTACAGGTGGAAACAAGGAAACTATAAATCAGATGTTAAAGCAGGCTTGTCACAAAATTGTTATTTTGTAGCTCAAACAGAGAGGGGAACAAAATTGTTTCCAGTTATCCGGACAGACCCTCATTTTAACTTATTCTTAATTGCTTTTTTTGAAATTATTTATAATTAAAATTAAAATTGTCCTTAACCATCTTCCAAACTAAATGTTCATAAAAATTTAAAAAATCCTGTTAAAATATTAAAATACATTGAAATTATCATAGGCTTTCAATAATAATCTACCTGTACATTTACCACTATAATAAGGAATGATATTTTATAGTATAAAATTTAAAAATAAAATTGAGAATGGAAATGGGGAATGTGTCAAAGAGACAACAACCCGACCATAGAGCAGACAACAGCCGAAGGCCACCAATGGGTCTTCATGCAATGCAGCGAGAAACTCCCGCACCCGGAGGCGTCCTTCAGCTGGCCCCTAAACAAATATGTATACTAGTTCAGTGATAATGGATGTCATACTAAACTCCAAATTATACACAAGAAACTAAAATTAAAAATGATACAAGACTAACAAAGGCCAGAGGCTCCTGACTTGGGACAGGCGCCAAATGCGGCAGGGTTAAACATGTTTTTTGAGATCTCAACCCTCCCCCTATACCTCTAGCCAATGTAGAAAAAACAAACGTACAACAGTATGCACAGTAAAACTCAGTTTAAGAGAAGTCTGAGTCTGATGTCAGAATAGGAAACAAAAGAAAATAAAGAAAATGACAATAATACATAAATAACAACAGACTACTAGCAGTTACTGACATGCCAGCTCCAGACCTCAATTAAACTGATTGAAAGATTATGTCTTCATCATATGAATATCAGGAACAATCCCTCCTGTTAGGGGTTTAGTATTATACCGTCATAAAATATATGAGAACATAACCCATGTCATGCCAACAACTGGTTTTAGAATAAATATGTTTAATTCCGATGCAAAGACCCTATAAGTGAATCAATATTAAAGCCAAAATATGCAATCTTTAATGACCTGACAACAGTATCGTAACTATATCCCTTCTTAATAACTCTGTTTAAAGGTTTTGTTAGCTTTTGAGGTGAATACTGACATTTTTGTGCTTTGTAAAGAATATTACCATAAAAGATTGGATGTGAAATACCCTAACGTATAAGATGTCTGCATGTTGAGTTATATTTACGAATGATGTCCTTATACCGATGATAAAATTTAGTAAATGTTTTGACTAGTTTATGATATCGAAAACCCTGGTGTAATAATTTTTCAGTAATATATAAATTTCTCTCGCTAAAATCTAATACGTTGTTACATACACGAGCGAATCGTACAAGTTGAGATATATAAACACCATAAGATGATGACAAGGGAACGTCACCATCTAAAAATGGATAATTAACGATAGGAAATGAAAAATCATCTCTTTTATCATAAATTTTTGTATTAAGCTTCCCGTTAATGATATAGATATCAAGATCGAGTGTGTCTCTCTATTTATTGTTTCAGGTTAGGGTGAAGGTTGCCACCTGTTTAAACGTTTAAACCCGCTGCATTTGTTTGCACCTGCCTAAATCAGGAACCTGTTGTTCAGTGGTTGTCGTTTGTTGATGTGGTTCATAAGTGTTTCTCGTTTCTTATAAAGATTAGACCGTTTGTTTTCCTGTTTGAATGGTTTTACACT